GTATTTTCTCATTTTCTTTAGAGTTTTCCTCAAAAACTTCATAGAAGCATCATATTAATGAGCTTGAAACAATTGTGGGAATTGTTCAGTCTAAGGATTGACAGGGGTGCTCAGGAAAGCCCTGAGAGTTCATTCAAGTCCAGAAGGTAGAGGCAGGTGGGGTGGGTGGGTAGAGTAGTGGGACAATGGGGAGGAGATTGGAAGGAAAGAAATTCTGGCCAGTTGGCCCACCTGCAGACCAACCCAATCAGGGCACTCTCCTTTCATCTAATGTACATATTGTAGCTTTGTTTGAAGAAAGTATTTCATGTTTTATAAAAGTAAGAAAATTTAGACCCAGAGAAATTGTGATTTATTGAAATTCCGGTAGCTAGCCAAGTGAGCAGCAGAGCTGAACGAGAATCAAAGTTTTCTTCCGTCCGTCCATACACGCTAAGCTACATCTCTCCCAACTTCATACAAATGCAAGAAGGAAAACTCACTACAGGTTCATTTAAGGCAAATATGTTGTCTGCCTTGATCTGGTGATTTATGACAACTCAATCCATGTCTTCATAAAAATAAGCCATGCCAGCTAGGTGCGGTGGCTCTCGCCTTTAATCCCAGCACTTTGGGAGGCCGAGGTGGGCAGATCACAAGGAGTTTGAGACCAGCCTGGCCAACATGGTGAAACGCCATCTCTACTGAAAATACAAAAATTAGCCAGGTATGGTGGCAGGCGCCTGTAATCCCAGCCACTCGGGAAGCTGAGGCAGGAGAATTGCTTGAACCCGGGGGGCAGAGGGGTAGTGAGCAGAGATCACACCATTGCCCTCCAGTCTGGGAGCCTGGGCGATAGAGCGAGACTTTGTCTCAAATAATAATAATAAATCATCATCATCATCATCATCATCCAAGTCTAAATTGGGGCATTTTTAGCTTAGCCCTTTCAACATAAAATATTTTTATGATATAAGGATGTAACTTTTATATAATGACTATTATATTTCAAGTTGAGCACAGATCTAGACCTTTATTCCTCACCTGAAATTCTTTTCTTTCAGCTCAATAAAGAGCATCTAATTTTTAAAGGCCCAGTTAGGGCCGGGTGTGGAGGCTCACATCTGTCATCCCAGCACTTTGGGAGGTTAAAATGGGTAGATCACTTGAGGCCAGGAGTTTGAGACCAGCCTGACCAACATGGCAAAACTCCATCCTTACTAAAAATACAAAAATTAACCAGGCGTGGTGGTGCACCCCTGTAATCCCAGCTATTTGGGAGGCTGAGGCACAAGTATGGCTTGAACCCAGGAAGTGGTGATGGGGTGAGCAGAGATCAAGCTACTGCACTCCAGCCTGGGTGAACAGAGTGAAACTCTCTCTCTCTCAAAACAAAAGGCCCAATTAGCACAACTGAAACTGATCCAACCAGAGAAGTGTTCCATCATGTAAAACATTACATAAGGTTAAGTTCACTGGGCATTTGTTAAATGGGCTATTTTAAACAAATATACTCCCTGTGTTACATTTTAATATGAGCAATCTCTTTCTTACATGTGGCCAAGTGGTCCTGGAAATTCCTCCTCTTCCCTCCACATCGCAGCCACTCATTCTTATTCAAGGTAGAGATGAATAACACTTAGAGAGAAGCAAGGATGAGAAAAGGAAAGGAGGGGCCAGGCACAGTGGCTCATGCCTGTAATCCTAGGATTCTGGGAGGCCGAGATGGGAGGATCACTTGAGGCCAGGAGTTCAAGATCAGCCTAGTCAACAGATCTCATCTCTAATTTTTAAAATTGACTAATTAATAATAATAATTTAAAAATAACAAAAGGAAAGGAGGCTCTGTTCCTCTTTGCAACGAAGAAGAGGAAGGAGTTAAACACAAAAAAGGAAAAGGATCAAGGATTTGGAGAGAAGAAAAATCATTTTTTCATTCCCCTAACAATCTTGGTTGAGGAAATCCGGGTAGAAAGGGGAAGAGAGAATGGAGAAAGATTGGAGGGAGGAAGCAGTCACAAGAATAAGACACAGCTCATTATAGCTGTGCTTCTCCTTAATTCCTGGTTGTCCTCTCACCCAAGAACACATTTAAATTAGCTTGAGCGAAACAGAAGAGTTTATTGGACAGATACAAAAATATCTTATAGAAAACACACTCAGACCACAGGAGGAACTAGCATCTACAGCAGCAAATTGATAAGCTCTAGGGAAAATTCTTTCCCTCTGGCTTTCTTGCTGGTTTTCTCTATTTCTCCCTCCCTCCTCTACTCCTTCTCCCTCTCCCTCCCCATTTCCAACCCATGGTTCCTCATCTCTTCTCCCTGTGTGTTTTTCCTTCTTCCTCTATGTGTGCTGTTCTCTGCCGGTCCATTCACAAGAGAGGCCTGGCTTCCTGTAGCTCTGGGGAATCTCTTCATTTCAAACAACCAGTAGTTAACTGGTATTCCTGTCCCAGGTCCAAACTCTTAAGTTGAAATATTTAGTTGGCCTAGCCTAGGTCACGTGTCTACCATGGTTCCATGAGATCTGGTCAGTTGGTTACATCTAACTGCCAAGGTATCTACTTTTGTTGGGGAGTTGGGAGAGATACCAAGTAGCAGAGAGGGGAATTATGGACTAAACAAGCAACTTCATATAGTTCTACAACCCTTTGCAACCCTGTCCCAGGCTCTCAAGTGGTGTCCTTAGTCTCCAGCCCTTATCCCAAGAGTCTTCAACCTCTTACAATACTGTTTCTAACGGTGTTGTCCAGGTCACTTGCATCAAAGTGTGTTTACTGAAAATGTAGATGCTTAAGCCCCTTACTCCAGACCTCTTCCAGAGGCCTTGTGTGTTAAATACACTCTGGGGACTGGTTTGAAAATCTCAGTGCTAAGAAGACTGCATTGGAAAACTTACTCTGAGTTTTAAATAAACTTTTGAAGTAATAATTATAGATATTATGATATTAATAGATAATATTTATTAAATATAAGTATCCTATAAATAATTATATATTATATAATTACAGATTATATATTATTTTATAAATAACTATTTTAGATATTTATTGTAGATGATATTACAGATAATATTTATTATAGATAATAAATGTAAGACACTAGTTAGGAAAAGTATATAGCACTCTCTAGATTAAAAGGATATTTATTTTTGAATTTCACAAAGTAAAAAGAAGTTGCTATTATGCCAAAAGTAATATGCAGAATTTTCTTCTTTATTTACATGCCATACCATTTACTTTGTGCATCCACAATTTCTATAAGTGTGTAAGGAGCCCAAGAAGTCTGAATTAGTGTTTATCACATTTCTGCCTTTTTCACAGCCATCCTGATGATTCCATATTCTGAGGTTATTTTCTTTTCATTTCTGGCTCTATCTAGATAATCCTAACATCTTTATCTCAGTACAACTATGTACTAGGTCTCAACATCAAATCCCACTGCCACTCTCCTATGCAAGTCATCTACAACAAAACTTACACTAGTCCTCCTTATCTACAGATTGACAATCAGTACACACTCATTTTTCTCTGACTGGATTCTCTCCTTCACTATTTCTCCGAGCTTGTGCTTCTCAAATTTAGATACATACATTCCCGGGGAGGCATAATTTTAGATCAGGAGCCAGAAGACAATGTTTCTCACTGGAGCATTTATTTAACTGAGGATTTGGATGTTTAAATAACTTAACTGGAAAGCAACTATGTGAGTTATCTTTGTCTTAAATAAGACCTGGATATGTTAAATAGAAAGATACAAATTTCACATTACATTTTAAGAAAAAAGGTGGGCCTTCAAAAAATGTGTGCTATGTCCTCCAAGTTCCCAATCTTGGGTGCCTTATTTACTTGATAATATGTTATCAGTTTAGCTGATCTTCTTGAAACACACACATTCAACAACTATGCAAATACTAGTTTAAACAATAAGAAAAGCTTGTCACTGAGCCTGATTGACAGAAAAATGTCAATCAGGTCCGGCATATCATTTCCCCTTTCTGTCTCATTCTAACTGAATCCCAAGGGTCGCTGATTTTCAAGGGGCTGAGTCAGAGTTAAAGAAAGCAATTTCATTTTCAAGTAAGCATAGCATTCAGTAGATCTTGAGCAAAGTAAATATCCTCGGAGCTGGTTTCATAATAGGTTCCTCCTATGAAGACTGGCTCTAACCAGTTCTTGGGAAACGTGCTTACAGACAAGAATTGCCCAACTGATTTCAGTAGACAAGAAAGTACACAGGGCAGCAGAGGTCAAGCCAATGACTGTACAACCTATCCCTATCCTTATGGATAAATTAATCCCCAAAACAATGGCACATACTTCCTTACTATTAAGACTTAGATAACACAATCTAAAGAGCTCAAGGCATTCTTCATAAAAACTTAAAAGTAAACAATGATGTTCATTCTTTTCTGGCTGACAGGGTGAAAATTACCTCCATGGGGCTTGGCCATACAGATAGCTTGAGTAGACAGCTGCCCACACAGTGTAATTTGAGGGGAGCCACAAGGTTCTGTCTGTTGGAAAATATATTCCCCTTTGATTTCCCAGAGCATAGCCTTCCCCAGATTCCTGGCTTCCATTCTCAGCATTAGTCACCAGAGTTAGATACTAAGTAGAAGTCGTACATCCATAAGGTCATTGTGGAAATGTACACTTAAATGACTGAGAGGGGCGTTGGGTTTTTTCCCATTTATACGATAAAATACATTCACACATTAACATGGATTAGTTTACCTGGGTTCATTGTCAATCTGGAAAGCAAACACTAGGATTCTGATGGCATGTGACATAAAATAGTAAGTTTTTGATGACATTTGAGGCATGGGTTTCATGGGAGTCAGAAGACCTGGTTGGGCCCAGCAGAGGGCACTCTAGGAAACCAGCACAAGAAGATTAGACACAACATAGTAGAGATAGACTTGCTAAATTTAGCTTTTTATTCCTTTGTAATTTTTGCTAAGCCACCCCCGACCACCACAAAGCAAACAGGACCACTTTAAAGTTAACTGGCCATGAGTAGAGTGCCCAGGAGGCAGCAATTTGCTTCTGAAATCTGAAAATGCCAAAACAATTGTCATCATCATCATCATCATCATCATCACGACTACTAAAAGCCATATACATTTTTCAATAGCTTCTGGTAGAATCAATCGCTTTCATCCCTCTGGTGGGTAACATAAAGGAGCTGGAAGAAAACACAGAGAAAGAGAATTAGAAAGGCACACAGGAAACTCATGACTGATAAGCAGAGGCTGGGGATGGTAGTAAAAAGACAGCTAAGGCTGAACACCGTGGTTCACGCCTATAATCCCAGCACTTTGAGAGGCCGAGGCAGGAGGATTGCTTGAGCTTGGGAGTTCAAGACCGGCCTGGAGCCGGGTGCAGTGGCTCATGCCTGTAATCCCAGCATTTTGGGATCCATCCACTCAGGTGGGTGGATCACCTGAGGTCAGGAGTTTGAGAGCAGCCTGGACAACATGGTGAAACCCCATCTCTACTAAAAATAACAAAAATTAGCCAAGCATGGTTGTACGTGGCTGTAATCCCAGCTACTTGGGACGCTGAAGCAGGAGAATCGCTTGAACCCGGGAGGCAGAGGTTGTAGTGAGCCGAGATTATGCCATTGCGGTGTTATTGGTCTATTTTACAGATCAGAAAGCTGAGGCTCAGTGAGACTATGTAAACTTGTCAAAGACCATACAGCTAATTTAAATTAGTGATTGACCAGCCTGGCCAACATGGTGAAACCCCATCTCTACTAAAAATACAAAAATTAGCCAAGTGTGGTGGTGCACACCTGTAGTCCCAGCTACTAGGAAGGCTGAAGTGGGAGGATTGCTTGAGCCCAGGAGGTCGAGGCTGCAGTGAGCTGAAATTACACCACTGCACTTCAGCTAGGGTGACAGAGTGAGACCCTGTCAAAAAAAAAAAAAAAAAAAAAAAGGCAGCTAAGATAACATCCTCACCGATTGCCACGTAAAGTAGATTGCTGGAATGGCTACCAAATTCCTTTACTATCTGACACTGGTTTGTTCACATACCTGTAAAGTATTTATAGAAATTAACAGATAGATCAGATAGAGCCAGATCAGTTAACTCTTAGAGAGCCAGAGGACACTTTCTCCACACAGCAAATTAAATTGTTCCTAAGGAAAAGCATGGAGTTCACTTTAGGTACACAAAGATAATCCCAACATAGACTTGACAGGGTGCTTGCTGTAGACTAAAGAGTAGAAAATGAGTTTTGAAAAATTGTCAAAAAAATTAATAATCAGTGATCATATAGAGCAAAACACAGGTATCCAACACATTAGGTTAATGCAAAAGTAATTGAGGGTTTTGCCATTTTGAAAGTAATACAGCAAGGCCAGACGCGGTGGCTCACGCTTGTAATCCCAGCACTTTGGAAGGCCAAGGTGGGTGGATCGCTTGAGGTCAGGAGTTTAAGACTAGCCTGGCCAACGTGGTGAAACCCTGTCTCTACTAAAAATACAAAAATTATCTGGGCGTGCTGGTGGGTGCCTGTAATACCAGCTACTCGGGAGGCTGAGGCGGGAGAATCACGTGAACCCAGGAGGCAGAGGTTGCAATGAGCTGAGATTGCACCACTGCAGCACTCCAGCTTGGGTAACAGAGCGAGACTCCATCTCAAAAAAAAAAAAAAAGCCAGTTGCACCTATAATCCCAGCTACTCAGGACGCTGAAGTGGGAGGATCGCTTGGGCGTAGGAGTTTGAGGCCAGCCTGGGGAACAAGGTGAGACGCCATCTCCAAAGTAAAATAATAATAATAATAATTTGTCTTTAACAATGATCCTATCTTCTGACCTAATCCAATATAAAAGTGTTAATCTTTGATGAGAAAAGAGGATATAGAGAAAGTCAAGGCCTAGAATTGTCCCTGTCACTGTACTTATTATACCTTTGGTTGTTTGTCTTCCTCCACTGTACTGTATACATTTTCTGTGTGCAGAGAGAAAGCGCTTGGGTTTGGTAAATGCTCAGTAAACACTGATTGAATGAATAAACACAATACATTCCTTAGGGCTGAGGTAGAACTTGAGTGATAGCACAATTGGAGGTGATAGGAGGAAATCTAGTCAGGCTGATGGAACTTGGTGCACAGTATGTGTGCTTACGGGCGACAGGTGTCAGTGATATCCAAAAAGAAGTTCTCGACCAAGCCACTGGTCAAGCAGCAGAAGCCCAGATACAGGAAATCCAGAAGTGGCAGCACGCAAAGGTACATGTGCATGGAGAGATAAGATTAGGAAAATCTGTTAGCCAATAGCCGAATCCCACCATTGGCCTGGTGTCAGAGGAGATTATAGTCATTGAGAAGGCATCCATATCAACAGGGCAGAGGCCAGGTTCTAGAATAGAATTCAAGATAGAAATACAGATTTTTTTAGAGGTGGGAGCTTCCAAAACCAGGTTAAATGGGATCAGTTGTTCGTTTTCACTAAGAAGAAAAGCAATAATAGCAGTCTGGCAACAGGTGTTATTGGTCTATTTTACAGATCAGAAAGCTGAGGCTCAGTGAGACTATGTAAACTTGTCAAAGACCATACAGCTAATTTAAATTAGTGATTCTGGTTTAAAAATAAAGCCTACCTATGCTGGGTGTGGTGGCTCATACCTGTAATCTCAACATTTTGGGAGGCTGAGGTGGGAGGATCACTTGAGGTCAGGAGTTCAAGACCAGCCTGGCCAACAGGGTGAAACCCCATCTCTACTAAAAATACAAAAATTAGCCAGGTGTGGTGGCACACACTTGTAATCCCAGCTACTCAGGAGGCTGAGGTAGGGGAACCACTTGAACCTGGGAGGCAGAGGTTGGAGTGAGCCGAAATCAGGCTGCTGCACTCCAGCCTCGGCAATAGAGTGAGACTCTGTCTAAAAAAAAAAGATGTCCAAAAAAATAAAATAAAGCCTAGCTAAATCCGAATCCAATTATTCCTCTTTTTCTTACTTCAGCCTGTGAGTCTTAAAAATTTAGTCACTGGAACTGGTAAGTCAGACTAGCTTTGCAACTCAGTTTTGAATCTTTCAGACATCTTGGAGCACTGGACTAGAACCCTTCAAATCAGCCCTTCATGGTTGCAGAGCTAGGATGGAGCTGAAACTACAGCAATGGTTCTCAACCTTGCCTGCACATTGGAATTATCTGCAGTGTTTTAAAAACACGGATGCCTAGGTTCCACCACAGACATGATAATTTAATTGATCTGAGGTATGGCTTTTGCGTCAAGAATTTTTTTTTTTTTTTTTTTTTTTTTTTTTGAGACAGAATCGCACTCAGTTGCCAGGCTGGAGTACAGTGGTGCAATGTCGGCTCACTGCAACCACTGCCTCCTGGGTTCAAGCGATTCTCCTGCCTCAGCCTCCCAAGTAGCTGGGACTACAGGCATGTGCGACCATGCCCAGCTAATTTTTGTATTTTTAGTAGAGACGGGGTTTCACAATGTTAGCCAGGATGGTCTCAATCTCTTGACTTCATGATCTGCCCGCTTCGACCTTTCAAAGTGCTGGGATTACAGGCATGAGCCACTGCGCCTGGACACTTCAGGATTTTTTAGTGTCCCCCTAGATGATTCTAATGCGCATCCAAGCTGGGAACTACTGGCTTAGAAGCAGAGGTCAAGAGGCCTCAGCTGTTTGCAGAGGAAGGCTATGGTGGCTTGTATATTTCAATGGGATAGGAAAAATACTAGAAGACTCATGGGCTTGTATTTCTTTTCTTGAACAAGTGGACCATAACTGACTCTTTGTTTTTCCAGTTTAACCTTAGAAAATATGCCCAAAGTCAACAGGTATACAATTAACCTTGCAAGTCAAATGGTTCCGTGTTCTTAGATTCTAAGTGCTAGTTGTGTGTGACCCAAGGCAAGGTTTTAGAACTGAATCTCCCAAATTGCTCATTACTATTCTATGCTTGGCTAAAACTCTTACATCACCCCACAATGGAATGTGACCCAAGTCAAGAAGAAAACAGAAACATTTGTGTTGTTTTCATGATTAGTAATGGGAATGAAGAGGGATTGAGGTATCTCAAAACAACGTGTACTTTTCCCAACCTATTTAAGACCTGATTCATGTAATACTTACTAATCTTGATGCCTACAAATGATATAGTACATTTATAATTTCTGGATGTGTAAATTCTAGACATTTAATTTGCTTGGACCAAATCCTAACCATAGAACTTGTTTATTACTTAAGGTACACACTTAATACAGCAAATACAACAAGCTTCCTATCGCCAGCTTCCATGATCAGAATTCTTGTGCACAGTTCCCTAATAGGAAACAATTAATTATACAATAAATACATATTTGTTTAGGGTCAGTATACATCTTTGTTTGCCTGGAATTGTCCTGGTTTACATCTGTCATTCCAGAATAATTATTAATAGCACCCTCTCTCACTCTCAAAAATGTTTCACTTTTGGTGATAAATTTTCTGGGTGCCCTTACAAATAGCTCACTCAATCTGCTCTTCCTCTGCAACCACTATAGTGATGCATCATGTTTGGAATGTGGTCTATTTCTATTTTGAACACTCCTATAGCTATTCAGGAAAATAAGGCCATTGAAACATTAATCAGTTGATCAACATGTCTTCTTTACATTTTTAAAGAAACATAGAACTGCTTGAACAAATAGGAAACAAATAGTAAACTGATAGATGTAATCCTAAATATATCAGAATTACATTTATTGCAGCATAAATGAACTGTAAGTAATTGCATTGTCAGTTGATTAACAGTGTGATGATAGAACATAATTTCTTCAGGCACAAAGTGTGTTTCTTGTGGCTGCAGAGTTGTCCTTCTCCTTGAACGTGTTCCATCTGGCAGCGTCACAAATATCACACAGTCCTCTAATTAGACTACTAGACAATGTTTTGAAGCATTATTATCTAGCACTGATCAAGCAAAAGTACATACTTGTCCAGCATGGAAACTCCTTGACTCAATCAGCACATCTCACCTGGATGAAATCCAAAAACTGAACAGGTTGTAGGTTTTGCTACCTCTGGCACATAGCCAAAACTTGTGGTATGATTTATTTCAAACTATGGACAACGTATGCAGATAGTGGTTCAAGACTAGCGTGACCAAAATAAGGTTTTGAAAGAGAAGGGGGGCACCATAATAATTACACTAGCCGAAAACGGATACTTTG